AAAAAAAAAAGAAAAACTAAAATAAAAAACCCGGAATATCAATATCTAAAGTACCTTGACCCAGAGAAACTTCCAAATGGGTCAGAAATCAATTAGAAAGCAGGAGTTAAATTGTATTTTATGCAAATCCACCGATCAAAGGTGCATCGAATTAACATTTAATTCCGCCTAAACTCATGACGGTGGTTTCTGCTCCGCGGAGCGTGTTAATTACTGTCTAAATACGCGGACACGTAGGTGGATGCATCCAATTTGTGTCAGCCAGGTCAAAACGACTAGACTGTGCTACTCACGTGCCAACAGAGGGTGCGACTACTTTGGGGTTAAGTGCTCTTCTTCGTCCCGGCTCAACAATTGACACAGTAACTTCCTTAAGACCTGGCTTTTCCTACCTTTTTCAGCTCCTCGATTCTATTTAGCCGGCCGCTAATTCGTTCGTCGATCGTAATTGTAGTTCGATGGTACGTAAAAAGAACGGATACCCCGCCATTTCTAACCTATACACCTTTTCTTTTAATGTGTCTCTTTATTTTATTTTCATACGGGAGGATTTTAGAGGAAAGGACAAATGTCATTTTCACGTGGACTTTTAATTTATTTTTAAAAGGAGAAAGCATGAAAAGTTTTTAGGTTACTTTTATTAAAATTTACACTTAGGCTGTTTTTATTAAAACTGTGTAATAAAAGTGGATTTGTAATTCATGCAAAAGGCGGAAGCATTGCAATTTTTAGAATATATCGTTAAATGGTGTCATTTTTAAATTATTTAGGATAAAGGATGAATTATTTCATTATGATCTTATATTATTATATACTTAGTTCGAAATGCAAAGAAAAAGAATAAATCTGATTAATATAAAAAATGACTATATTTTTTCTAAATTATTTTAATTTTAAGTCTCTTCTATCTACACTATTATTTATCCAACATTAAATAAATTAGTCATCAGTTTTTTAATTTAAAAATACGAATAATAAACGAAAAAAGAGGATGAAACGAAAGGGAACGAATGCGAAGAATTTGGCGCCATGTTGTGTTTACGCATTCCTCGAGGTCCGCCATGTTCGAAATAATATTAAATCTCGCATGGAACGAGAGGAATGAAATTATATACGTGTGATCCCCTACCTATTGTTCCCATGTGAAAAGGCGACGATCGTCCCGGAATTGGCCTCCTCTTGTCGCAGAGCGGCGGCTATAGTGAATTCCGGAACCCGCCGGAGTAGCGTGGCCGCTCGTTCGAAGTTCGCCTCGTTCAGTCGGAGCTCCCTCTCCTCGCCTGAAGTAGTAAAACTCAATCATTCCTCCGTCTTGCACTCGTACCTCTCAATATCGCTACTGATAATAACAATAAAGAATTTTATTTCATTCCATCTAATGAGGAATATAAATAAACATGTTATAATTTATCATAATTTGCATATAAAGATGAAATAATGAAGAAAATTTTTAATTCTAGTAGTTGAGAGATTCTAGTTCCAGTAATTTGTAGTTCCAATAAAATTTATTCCATTCAATTAAACAAAAAAATATTAATACATGAGTTGAAAACACCAAAGAATATTATAATTCAGACATAAAAATAAAATATTGTTTTATACTACTGAAGATTCAATTCTGGCAATGAATAATGGAAAATTTCAATTTCCATGTTCAAGTTCCTATCTATTAATAATTTAATTCATGGTTCAGTGCTGCCCCCCTGAGCAGAGCTATCCGAGTTACCAGATATAATCGACAGAATGGCCTACAAAGTTCGGTAGAAGCAATCTATCACGGTGGAACTCGATGAATTGGTAGAAGTTTCAGAACACTGTTCAGCTCAACGACAAAAGAGTTCGCAGATTTCGGAATGTAGGTCGACCGAAAATTTTTGGTGGGTCGCATCGATTCGTACGATTCACGGTTCCTGCTCGCACGGTTACGTAATCGCCTAGTGGACATGGAAATTCGATTGGTCGTAGTTACCGGCTCCGTGGACAATTCGAACAGCTTTTTCGCATCGATGAATTCAGTTTTTACGTATTCTTTATGTAAAATACAAAAGTAATAGTATTTTACATAGAGAATTTTCTGGGAACAAGAATTTTAACAAAAGCGAATTGTTTTAAACAGTAGAGAAAATAATTTAATTCTTTACTGTATCATATTTTTAAACGAAAAAGGGGCAACAGAGCATTAAAAGCATTATTGGAAAACTCAGCAATGAAATCCAAATTTTATCGTTACATTCGACAAAATTAACCTAAAAAATATCCACCGTACGCTTCCCCATGAAATAGAACAATGTCCCACTAGACAAGGACAACAATCGCCGAAACAGAATCCTCACTGCCGCCATCTATGCACACACACGCGTAACGCGACACTCATTAGCTCGCATAAGGTAAGCGCGATAATGTTTCGCTGGAAGCGCCATAACGTGCGGTTGCTCCCTATGCAAAATTGATCCTTTATCCTTCGATTAAGCACACCAGCGGTATTAATTGTTCGCGTGGGCCGTGCCAGCGAGCTGTGTAATCCGGTCACTGGGGCCCTACCCGTAATTGCGGACCGCCCTAAGCTATAATCGCGCGTGCGCCAGGCTTCTTGTGCGTGCAGCCTCGAGTTTCAGACGAGCCGCGAAGCTTAATAAAATGTAACCGGACACTATGTGCTGTGACGAGGAGTCAAGGAACATCGAACGTTCCGCTCTGCTCAATTATCCACGTCTACGCTTGGTTAGTTGGTCAATGCACGAAACAGACCCTTACCTGGCGTACTTAATCGTTCTGCACCAACTGGCACACGTATCGATGACTCCATGTTGCTCGTGAGGGAACGGAGGAGGGGTGTGTTGGACTTATGAGGTTACGTACACTTTGGAGGGCCTGAGAGAATGCTTATCTTTGTAAATATTTGATGTATACAGAAGAGTGAGGTTAGATGTGAGACTTTAGAATTTTATAAAACAAGTTGATAAAAGTTTTAGGTTAGGTTAGATTAGCTGGAGAGGTTCATTGAAAAGATTATGTTGCACAAGTTTTCTAACAACAAATATTGTTCACTGTTAACTACTTTAATTTACTCGATAGTTTCAAGCAACACTAGATTTATTTCCATGATTATACTTTAAATATTCAAAGTTCAAAAATCAGGGTTATCTGAGAAAATACAATGGCATTATTATACCTTTGTACTCTATCATTTCAATCTACTTTTTGAAGTTAGTTTCGCAAAGTAAGATGGCTACTCTGACAGCTCCCCCATAGACGATACAAAACCTAGTAAGGCAACTCCAATCTAAAAATTGTACCTTAACCCAACCACAATAGTAATCTTTTCCAATCCCTTCCCAATAAAGCAATATTTACAAATAACTATTTAATAAATAATTCACAAAATTAATCCACCATTAATCACCAGCTTCCTGTATTCGAAATCAATAGAGTGTTATGAAAAGAGGGGCTTACACAGCCCAGAAGCAAGCATTAATTTGGCATCTGTGAAGATAGTCGACGAGAAAGTTATTCGCTTCGGAAATAAATAGCGTATAGATTGGATCGTGTGTCCCCACAGTGGGGTGGCCATGGGGTCGGCCAATTTCAGGACAAGAGAGGCGTGTTTCTCCGTTCCAATACTTAAAGGGGGGGGATCGCGAAATCTTGTTTTCCATGTTCACAGAAAACTCTGACACGTGTCGGCGTATATCGTCCGCGTGCTTTGTTCGACGATCACAATGGTCTACCAATTCGAACTGAATAAATCGAATTTCAGGGACGTTTCCTCTCTTTCCCCGATCAACTGTCCGGTAAAAGGGATATTTATAGAGGGTGAACGCGTGACGAGAAAAATAAGAGCAATTGGATATGCAGTGAACGCGTATTGTAGAGGTCAATGAAATAATAATAGAGTGTTCGTACAGACACGAATTCTTTTCTATATTAAAGTATTCCATAATCTTAAAAACAATTTCTCTCAACTTTACTCACACTCGAACCTCTCAGTCTCGTACTACACAAAAACCTAACCTCAAAAAAGTACGACACAAAGTGCCCGTAACACTCCGTCACTTCGCAACATAAATTTCTCCGCGCGAAGTGTACAAAACAATAACTTGTGTTCATTGTTTAGAATCATCCAACCTCGGACTCCATGCATCACCCCACAAAAGACTTCAAAAACAGCCATCGCCATTTGCCGGTGGGGGGGAGCTTGCACTCACGCAGGAGCGTTTCAACTCGAAACAACACGAGCCATTTCAACTCGTGAAAAAGGAAGAAAAAAAAAAGGGAACCTCACACGAAGACAAAGAAGAGGTCGAAAAAAGAAAGGGGATTGCATCGGAGTGGCGCAGAGGGGTTAGGTTCGGGTTTTGCGTTGGAAACCGCAGAGAATGTTCGGTTACTTCCGCGAAACCGTCGACAGAGGGTGCAGGTAATTGAAATTTCTTTCGGGGAAACCCCTGCTGACGCCCTTGGGCCAACCACCCCCGTTTCTGCTCGCTTTTCGCGGACGTTGCACCGTCGCCCACGCTTTCAGCCATCCAACCAGCTCTGTGCACGTTTCTGCGGCGTCGACCAGCCGCGGGAACGGGAGGGTGAAACGTTTACGCTTTATACAGGGTGCCGTTGAATATACGACTCCACGTGGAACGTCGCAAATCTTTTTTCAGGCTGGAAATTAATGTCCCGGTATATGTTCATTGATTTACACTTCAAATTATTGAGAGAGCAAATATACATCTTTTGAAAAATATAAACTATGATTTTATTTTTTCAAACATCCTGCATATACAAACTGCGTATTACTTTAAATTATTAGTACAATCAATACACACATTATACCTACTTTTGCTACTACAGCATTCGTGGAAAATATTAATCCATTTCGTTTAGATCACCCTGTACAGACAAGTTACAAATTCAAACAATGATATTACACGGAATAATTATCCAAGAATAAAATATTTAAAGAAATACAACAGTATCGATTTAAATTAATGAAACATTTATCCTCGATCATTCTTTAAAGTTATTATTAATGTTTCAAGGCCACCCTATATTTTCTACGGGTGTGCTATTAAACAAAATTTTAGAAAAAGAATGCTGCAACGTCATTCCAAGAGATTATCGTGCAACCTTGAAAGGAAGAGAATCAAGAGGGGAAAAAAATCCATACCGGGTTCCAGGGGATAATTAAAACGCAAAATGCCGCAAAAATGCTGGGTCAATTCACTCGAAACACGAAGGGACAATCGATACCTCGCGAGCTACGGGGGAATTCCCTACGGAGGTCTGCCAATGGAGACGATGCGGCTATGAAACTGACCTTTCACAATATCGATTAATCGGTCGTTATGTAACCATCACGGTTCAACCGGTAAGCACCAATTGTTTTTCCAGTTGATCACTTCCCCTATACACATTTGTTCCGCTCTGAGCAATTAAAACGCTTTTTCGAGAGCTATTGAGAACAGCTTTGTTTGTCAAAGAGACCTATTGCTCGTTGAAATTTAAAGCTCAGACTAATTTCAAGCATTTTTAACAAATAAATTCAATTTTATTAAACATTTCAGCTGTTGAGAATTTTTTAATTCAACTTTCATCCAGCACATAACCTTAAAAATTATACACCTCATGTCCTCTGTTCTAATTCTATTGTGTCCAAATTTTTTCATTTCGTATTTTAATGGATTGCAATTGGTAAGTGCACGTAATTACAGATTTCCAGTAGCATACATCGAGAAAAAACACAAATAGTACGCTATTCGCGACAATGATCGCGAAACGCCAGAGAAAGATAGCTCGCGGCCAAAAACGACCCTCCGATATGCAAATAAGGCTATATTCGGGTTAAGAGAACCCCTTGTAGGAACGGGTTTCGGTTCTGCGCTCCTCGTAAAATTTACTGCGTCCCTTGTGATCTGCACGCAATACCGGGTACTAATGTAAATCGCACAAAATGATTTACTTGCGTTTCACCCCCTTTTCATGCCGCCATTACGAACAATAATCGAGATAAATCGTGAAATTTTTGATAATAAACATTTTGTGTAATTATTGTTAAAATTTTCTACTATTCTGATCGTGAGGAGGCCAGTTTATGAATTGTAGGTTACAATTTCAAGGTGTTAAAAATAATTTTAAACGGAGGTTATTTCTGGTTTTATAAATGAGACTACAACTTTTACTTCTATAATAATTGGCTCTCCAATGGTAAAATAACACGTACAATAGCAGCACTTACCCTGAAGATAATAAGCTGGCTTTAACCTAACCAGTCCTGGCACCTGTGTAACACCCTGCCGCGTAGTGTTGTGCAGCTGTAACGCTGCCAAAAGGTCTATGCCTCCTCCAGGATCGCTCCCTGTCCTGGGTCTTGTCCCCAGGACACCGGTGCTCTCCTCCGTGGCGTCAACAGTAGCCACCGCCGTCTCTTCCTCTTTCTTGTTTGTCGTGCAAGACACTGCAAAACAAACAGACACGTCGCTCGTTAAACGTTTACCCAACATGCTACAAAGGGCAGTCAAAACATTTCAGATGATTTATGAACGAGTTCTTCGCCGTGTATAAACGAAGAATCGAACGTACATAACTATATATAGAATCACTGACGAATCGTTTCTGGCATGGCAAAACTATATGACGGATGTCGTGTGTCCAGAATCGTTTGTTTAAAGGTTTGTAGAGTGTGGTAATAATACGGAAACAAGAAATTCGTAGAAAGGTTTGTGGTAATTTGGTACTAAGAAAGGAAATAACCTTAAAAATGTTAAAGCCACGTTTCCGAATATCAGAAGAAAGAGAAGATTCCTCTTTTTAAATCTCATTTCCAGCACTGAAAAAATGAAACATCCACAATACCAACACTTTCAATCTGTATCAACCAATTCGTCAGCAGTACGAAAGGTAGAAGCCAGAACGAGAAAAAATGGCCCGTCACCCACCTGCCAGAGCTTTCAATTCCCAAACGAGCTGCCCTCTACCGGTCAGTCGCCGAGCTACGAAGACACTTTTATTAGCGCGGTCAAACCGCTGTCATGTCCGTCAGTGGATGGTAACCGCAACCGACGAACAGTGTAAAATGATATTGGCAGATCCGTGGAGACGTGAAACAGGAAAAAAAAGAATGAACAACGTGAACGAAGGGAAGCTTTTTCCATTGGTACAGTTCAATCATCGTTACGCGAAATGGATTTTTCGTATAAAACTCGAGCAAAGCGGTTCACTGTTTACGAGTAGTGGCAGAGAGACGGAGAGGAGGGGAGACGAGTTTCGCGAGAGAGGGATCGAGGATTGAGTTGAGGGAAACGAGGAAAAGCGTGGAAACACCGATAACGAGCCTCGACCGTGAAGAGTCGATCGATACCAGCACGCTTCTTCGAGAGGGCTACCACGCCGCCTCTTTTCCTTATCCTTTACCTTATCTCTCTGCTTCTTCCGCCTCGATCCTCCTTTCCCCTCTTTCTCTTTCTCTTTCTTCTCGCCTCGACGATGGATGCTCCTCGAACGACTCTTAGCATTTTTCAGGGGGCAGAGAGAGTGGAAATACGCCATTGAACTTTATTGCTTGTTCGAGTGGAGGCTTCGAGGACTGAAGACGACGAAAGAGTGAGAGACAGTTCCGTGGACTTTTGTAAGCAGCAGGAAATGGACCGTTCGAGAGAGAGGTAGGTATTGAAATATCTTGTGTACGGTTAGGTTAGGTTAGGTTATGGGGGAAGTTTGTTGGAACGCTGTTCGGTAGATGGTGTTGCAAATATTTAATACCTTTGATGTAGAATAATTTGAAGCAGTAAGGTTAGTATTGTATGACTTGTACAATAATGGAATACGTAACAAAGTGAAGAAATGTTCGTAAAAGAATATTCCAGAAAATGCTAAGAAACGAGAATAGAGAAGGAAGAATGTTTTGAAGAAAGTCCAGAAATAGTGACTCAATCAACGTCTTCGATTTGTCTCTCGTATAGATTCCAAATGCACGTTCAGCAGATCGGCGCCGTACGGGTTATAGCGCGGGCGCTTATGGTGTTAACCTGTCGTCGCGACGAACAATACGACTGTCTCGATGGAATCGTATAAAGTTCCTTGCTCTGATTTTCATTTTCCACTTCCTCTGCTATTTTCCTTATACTTAATGGATTTCTATGATTCTTTTTGACAATTCCTTTAGTCTCCAATTGTTAATAAAATATTCTTCACCTTTCTATACTGTGATTAACAAAAAACTGACTGTAAAGCTTCCCTCGAATAATATTTTCCCATCATAAGGCCAAATTAGAGGAAATCCATAAGGAAAACTAAAAATGAGCCCTCCCTTCACGTTCCAACCTTAAAAAGATTCAAGAGCTTTCGACTAACCTCTCCAGTAACGACAAAACGATCGAGAAGAGTCGAGAAAGCTACTTAAAAATTCCAACTGAAATTCTAAAGACTCGTTCGCTAATTGACTGGGATTCAGGAGTGACGAATCAACGGGACCATTGAAGAGCCGCGAGGAACGGGACCAACAAAACGTAAACAACACCGGTGAACGCTTCTAAAACGGTCCGTGAATCGGTTTGCACAGCGGTGGCTCTTTTTAATTGCGTAACGAGCGGAAAGGCATAAAGAAAGAGAAACTCGCCCCCTCTTCGCCTTTTTCCTCTGTGGAACAATCGAGGGATTTTGCGCGCGGAACACTCTCGCGACATTAATCGGGGCAAATCAACCGGTAAATTAATGGCGCTGCCAGTACACGCACGTTTTCGCGGCTAAAAGCGGCCCCCGTTCCGCCAAACGCATGCCTGCTACATCTTTTCATGCATTGGCGTAGCCTTGTTGCTGAGTTCCGCTTTGTGGAGGCTCGAAGAACCCTTTGACTGTTAATTCGCTGAAGCTAATTCCATTGAAATCCTTCTAGTGACAGTTGAACGCCCTTATTCATTTTTTTCTTTTTTTTAATCAATTGCTACAAAATTCTTGACAATTGAAAATCATTTTAACTACTTGGGGTATATCAGTTTCACCCATTTTAACATATTTATTTACTTTATGTACATAAAATAACAATAGCCATAAAATTAATGTTTTCAAACCATATCAACATCCAAAAGATTACCGTCAATAAAATTCAACATTCATAACCTCACTTCCGCTCAATCACTGCCAAATTCCCCAACAAACGACTGCAACGAGGAACAAAACGAAACATCTCCTAGGCAACCCTATTTACAATTCTCTCCGCCGCCATCTAACAATTCTGCTGCACAAAACTTCGAAAGCTGCTCATTTCCCCTTCCTAGCGCATAAAGACGTCGCAAACAGCGCGGGGAGAACGAGAAAAGTGGTGCAAGTCCCATCGATTCGTAGTGCCCGTCGCAAAGGGTTAACGAACCGAGCGAATTTCACGGAGGCGGCGCCTATGCTCATCTAAGAGTGACGTCGCTTTCTTGCCGTCCGAAAACGCGCGCCACTGTATGTGTACGTGCACAGGCGGCCGCGCGGCTGCGTCTGTGTTGTGTACGTGTGGGTTGTAGCCCGACGCCGAACGAAACAGGATGGAATGGAACGACGGTGGCAGACTGCCGGGCGTCGCGACGCCCGCTATCGAACCGTACGCGGCATTATCGCTCGCTTCGAGCAACAGAGACAAGACTAACGAGAAAAGGGTGGAGCACGAGGATGTGCAACCTCGTAAAACGACTCTCACACACACACACTTACATATATATGCACGACACGCGCTTTCACATATTCACACATACACACACACACGCGCGAGTATAAACATTGGCGATCATGGCGAGTGTATCGATACCCGTGATGATGATTAACGAGCCTGGCCACACGGATTCCTTTAATATTTACGAGTGGCGCGCTGCACCTTGCACGCTCACGCTACTTCCGCATCAAGTTGGACTTCGACTGCGAATGATTGGTGATTCTGGTGTCAAGTTCAGTGTGCACTGATGAGCCAGAATGGGCAACCGTGGCTCTTGTGTCACAACGTTCGATCACTATTCCCACGTGAAATAAGACTTTTCTGGTTACGGCTGGTTTTGACGTTCGACGAAAGATCGCTTTAACGGTTTTCGGTCCTGTGTCGTCGTAGTTTCGCGTAGATGTCGCTGCAGGTGTTAACGGAGCGTTAGTATTGGCTGTTAACGTAGATGTCAGCTTGACGATTGGTAGACTGGTTTCAGATTTTTGTTTAGAAGGTGCTGTCGATCGGCGCGGTGGTTAAGTTAGGTTGAATGGGCGCTGATGAAGTGGTACGAGGGCTGTATATGATTTGCGTGGAGTGGTGCTTATGTTTTGTAGGATTTTTGTAACCATCGAACAGCCATTTAGAGTATTTCTTGTTACTTTCAAATGGATAGCGGTGTGTCGTGGAAACGATGAATTTTTATGGTACAGTTAACAACTCGACACCTTTATGGGGAGAAATTTTTGGCGTGAAGATATTCAAAAATTAATTGTACCCAATTTAAATAAATGTATTAATAATAATTAAACTGTCGAAATGTTCAGATGAATGTCCAATAGATAACCTCAAAATTAATATGGAATCCGGAATATCGCGAAATTCAGAATTAGTTATTTAATTTCGTTGTACAGTGAGGAGTATAAATCAGGATATTGCAGTCACATGTCCTATTGTAGAATTATTCCAGTAACATCGTCATTAACGTTATTACTCGAAATATTAACGGAATTCGTAACAATATTGCAACATGTGATCCGAATGAACCGCGTGAAAGCCATTTAATGAAAACGTTCCGCACGCGAGGATAATGACCTTTCCACGTTCTTGCGCGCGTAATGCCTGCATTTATCATTCATAACGCGCCCTTTGCGATACAATCCGCGCGCACACCTAACCGTTATTAACGTTATCGAATTTTGCAAGCGGTACATGCCGCAAATTAGTTTGTTTCAAAAACTGAACTTCAGGTCCAACAACTGCGCGAGCAGTGCAATCTGCGTTCAGATTTATACTTCCGTGTGGGTGAGACTTTATCGATGCAATCAAAGCTCCGTTTTCAATTATGAACACGGTATAAATAAGAATAATAATTGGCCATTATCGGCGCGTAATTCGAATAGCAATAATGCTAATCATTTATTTTTTCAATTCAAAGTAATTTCAATGTAAATTGAATCAAAATTTCAAGGTGGCATTCGTGACTAGAAAAATTCCCTAGAAAGTGTACTTTTTCATTCGAAACTAGCAATGATAGGCAAATCAAAGCGTGTTATTCCCAGACAATAAAATCCCCTAGAAACTTCACTTCTCCAAATGACATTACACAATTCCCAAGTTCCTCAATTCGAACTTAAGACCAACAAAGACATTAAACTACGCCATTCACATCCTCCGAAAAAAGTCTCTTACCAAAAACATAACCTCCTTCGCAGGAAACAAAACCTCACGCGAATCCCCTATTATCGACACGTTGCAGAAAAAGGCTGATCCACATAGAG